ATTTTTAGGAGGTGTCATTCATCTATTCTGTCTTCTGCTGTTTGTGTGTTTTCAGCTATGTTTGATAGTATATCTGTGACATATATCATACTTGCTAGTCCTAGTTGTGGCACTGTAGGATAAGCACTAGACTGCTAACCACAAGTTCGGCAGTTCAGATTCACTAGCCTCTCCTCAGAAACCCTATATAGATAGGGTAACTATGAGTTGGAACTGACTCGACATACCACAACAACAACTTGGTCCTTATTTTACCATTCATGGTATATAATATAGTTCTAAGTTTGACACTTAGGTCTTTGATCCACACAGGATATGTCCTCAATATATTAAGGAATTTCTCTTCTGTTCCTATTTTGTTGAGTTTTGTTTTAATCAGGAGTGGGTGCTAAGTTTTATCAAATGTTTTTTCTGTATCAATCGATTATGATCAATGTGGTTCTTTTCCTTTATTTATTTGGTGGATTATGTTGCTTCTTCTAATATTGAACCCTGCTTACACCCCTAGTATGTATCTCACTTGGTCATGATAATATTGTTTTCTTGATATGCTGTTGAATTCTATTGGCTACGATTTTGTTGAGAATTTTTGCATCTGTGTTCATGAGGAATATTGATCTATTTTCTTCTATAGTGATGGTTGTGCCTGGTTTTGGTATGAGGATTATGCTTGCTTCATAAAATGTATGTGGGAGTTCTCCATCTTTTTCTGTGTTCTGGAATAGTTTGAGTAGAATTGGTGTTAGATTTTTTTCCTGAATGTTTGTCAGAATTCACCTGTAAAGGTGTCTGGGTCCGGACTTTTTTTAGAAGACTTTTAATGACTTGATAAATTTCTTCTTTTATTTAAGTTTTCTACTTCAGTCTGTGTTATTTTAGGTAGGTATGTTTTTCTGCAAATTTGTCCATTTTTTCTAGATTTTCCAATTTGTTTCAGTATAGTGTTTCATGACATTGGTATATTCCTTTTTCTTTTGACTCTGTTGTGATGTTCCATTTTTCTACAAACTTTTTGAAGCCCCTTTATACAATATTTGTGTTTATATTTCATGTCTGTTGTTTCTTTGTCTGGTACCATATATTCCATGAATATAATTCCCAATTTGGCTTACTTTTTCATTTTAATGTTGGTTTTCAGAGAGCAAAAGTTTTAAGTTATTTTTGTTTTGTTTTTTACTTTTTGTTGTGAATTGGGTGAAGGTTTACAAATAAGAGCATCAATAAACCATACATCTTGTTTCATCTCAGTGATTACAACCCCCTCCCTGCAACACTTATCCCACTTCCTTCTTGTAGTCCCCCCATTTACATCTTATATTGCACAGATGATCATGGCAAAGATATTTGTTGTATACTTATAAAACAAAAATATTATAATTCATTTAAATGTCCAAAGGGTACATTTTGCTAGTTAACTTCCTGCCAGCAGGCACACGGTCACCATCATTGCTGTCGCTGCTTTTCTAGGTGGGGATCTCATACTCCACTCATGCTCTTGCTTCTTAATGGTCCTGGGATTGTCTGTACTTGAATTGAAAGATACCTACTCCCTCTTTTTAGTTATACATTTTCTGCAGTTACAGTTGTGATGATCACAATCCTGATAACAATTACTCACAGTTAAATCATAAAATCCTATCACCGTTGTCCCCCATCCCGTTTCACCAGATCCATCCAATAGAGAAACTATTCAGTGGGGATTCTACCTTACCCACCTCATTCTTCAGTAACCATACCCATGAAAGCTTGTAAACCAGCCACTTTGTAGCCCCACCACACCCCCATTTTTGAATACCAAGGTTTTAAGTTTCTCATCCCTACCAAACCAATGCAACAAGGAAACAAAGTTGTTCCTTGCTATGAAAAATCTTGGAATTTTGAATCTCTGGGCAAAAGTCTAACTCATCAAATTTTAGCAATTTGCACTTGTTCTCAGTATCAAGCATCTTTCAAATCTTCTTCGGTTCGAATTCTGGTCAACTAGCCATCCAGGCTAGGTCAAATGGGTACTAGTTGCAAGTTTGGGTGTTCACAAACAACTCCCTGCACTTCACACCAGTTGGCTGCTTCACTCCCATGGGCTCAGGAGTTCACAAATCTTCCTAAGAAGTTTTAAGGTTTTAAAATTATGAGTAAAGTTGGTTGAACCCATTCTCTCCTAATTGTATGTGTTTATTTTGTTTTACCTAAGAAACCAAAGGTTGCAGTCCTTTTTCTCTTGTATTTTTTTCTAGAACCTTTTTACTTTTAGGTTTTACATTTAATTTGGGTTTGGTATGCATTTAGAACTAATTTTTGTGTTTGGTTTGAGCAAAGGGTCAGTGTTGATTTTCATTCATGATGGCGATCCTAGCACCAATTCTTGGAAAGATTTCCCCCTTTTCCCACATTGATTTCTTTTTAAGTGCTATCGAGTCCGTTCCAACTCAGAGTCACCCTATACAAGGTTTCTGAGGAGCAGCTGGTAGGTTTGAACTGCATACCTTGTGGTTAGTAGTCCACTGCTTATTTTACAGCACCACACCAGAACTCCATTTGATGTGTTGTTTCTGTTAAGTGCTGTCAGGTCAGTTCTGATGACTCATGGCGACCCTGGGTAGGGTTTCTGAGGAGCAGCTGGTGCTTATCAGTCCAGTGCTTATCCTACAACACCACACCAGGACTTGTAGTTGCCCCTTTATTGAAGAACAATGTGTCGGCTGTTTCTGAATTCCCCTTTGTATTGCATTTATTTACATCTCTTAGTACATAAACTGTCGTCATTAATATAGTTTAGTGTATGGGCTAAAATCAAATGGAGTCTTACAACTTTAATCTTTAAAATTCTTTCTTGATCCTTTGTATTTCCATATACATTTTACAATTAGTTTGTCAATTTCTATCAAAAAACAAATTTTTGCTTGTATATTTATTTTGATGGCATTCAATCTATGCATCAGTTTGGCAATAAAAACATATTTTCTATCTAGCCCATGGATACAGTATCTGTATATTTGTTGTTGTTAAGTGCTATCGAGTCAATTCCGACTCATAGTAACCCTGTATAGGGTTTCCAAGGAACAGCTGGTGAGCTTGAACTGCCACCCTTGCAGTTCATATATATAGCTTTGCCGTCTGGCGTATTAACCCACAGTGTCACACTAGGACTCCATCTGTTTACTTAGGTCTCATTAAATTTCTCTCAGCAATGTTCTGTAGTACATCTTCTGTTAGATGTATTTCTAAGTAAGTGCAATTTGGGGGGAAAGGAAGTAACTTAGTTTTTGTTTATTTGTATAAAATCACAACATAGTTCCCAAATCATCTGCAAAATAAGTTCTCTAATTCTATACCTTATTGTTGTTGTTGTTAAGTGCCGTCGAGTCGATTCCAACCCATAGCGACCCTGTACAGGGTTTCCAAGGGTGTAAATCTTTACGGGAG